AAAACATAATCCGTTATGGGATACAGTTTTTCATATTGTAGTAAATAAAATTGTGAACGAAATTCGTTCACAATATCGTTATTACTTCTGGTTATAGTCAAAAAATTTAGCAATGGATATTGTTTTTCATTTTCAACTAGTTCATTTATATAGTCGATCAATTGTGATTGAGCATGACTTTCACGTATAAATTCACTGTAAACTAATTTATATTGTTGGATTCCATCAGACACCGATTTTATATGTGGCAATACAACGTTTTGTTCGATATGTTTTTCGAAATCAACAACTTTCTTATTCGTATCTAATACACCATCAATACAAAAACTAGATAAATTATTAAAAATTCTATACAACCATATGTGACATTCATTTTGTTGCCCAATTATATTATTAATTAATGCATAATCTTTAAGATAATGTTTTCGAAAATAATTCACTTTTAGATCAGGTGTATCACGTATTGATTGTAAGCATTTCAGATCATACAACATCATTATTAATGTATGAGTAAACATATGTAATAATCGATAGGTTATTGGTTGTAAATGTTCATTTGTTTCACTAGCAGTAGAATTCTCAGTCTGCATTGGATTGATGTAATAACCATATCGATTTGTTTCATTATACTGCTTTATGTAATTATCAATTAATTGAAAACCATCAGCAATAGATAGTTGTATTTGTGGTGGATCGCGTACTAACAATTGAATTGATCCACCTTTGACAGATCCAATGTCATTTTTACATAATGGACACTTAGAACGATCATTTGGTCTTCCACAGTTTTCAAAATAATACATAAAATAACAATTTTTTGAACACTGATATATAAACTTTCCTTGTCCGCTTATTTCTCGATTATTTAATCTTTTTGTACTTCATTGTTAACACGTTGCATTTGTATTACAATATGATTATTATTTGGTTGTAAACCTACTAAACATCTTGTCATTAAATGCTGTGAATAGTCTTTTGGCATTTTACCATTAACATCAAATAAAAGACTATTCATGTAGGTTGAATTTGTTGTACATTTCGATGCTAAATATAATGCAAATATATTTAATGCAACAAGACGAAGATGCATATCATTATCTGTCATATCTGCTTTCAATTGAAAATATGATTGATTATCAAAATTTTTGCACAGTTGCAGAATAAACTGATATCCAATTACTTCGAAAGTTGAAATTAGTTGATGTTGAAGCTGATTTTCAATCAATTGAACAAAGCTAATATCCATCGAAACATTTTTTATTGTATAAAACCGTCTATAATATCTAATAAACCATAAATAAAAACTATAAGCTAAATTTTTGTCTGTTTGACATTTTCTAATTAAGTTTTCTAATTGATTGATATCTTTCAGTTGTTTAAATAATTGATTAATATGAATACATTCATTTTTACATTCAAATAATGTTGTAGGCAATATAAAATTGTTTCTTTCCTTTTCGTGAATATCTGATTGTTGTAATAGTATTGGTTTAATCCAAGCAATATTTCGATTCGATAGTGTTTGTTTCAATTCCTCGAGTGATATATTATGAAAATATATCATCTGTTTAATGATAAATATTTTAACTGATGAACATACTTTAGACTCATTATTTAATAATAAGCGATCTATTTGTCGCATAACATCATGTTGTGATTGGGTCATAATCAATGCAAAAGAATACATTTCGGCATAATATTTTAACCATGATATTAAACAAATAACTTTTACATGAGATCGTTGTTGTTGATTTAATAAAGATTGTAATTCTATTAAATTGTCTTCAAAATATTTGTAATCGTTATTTAGTGAATTTTCAATATTTTCTTTTCCTATTGTTTGTTTCAAATATGAATGTATTCGATTGGATAGAAGATGCTCAATTTTAGTTTTTCTTTGTGACATGTTAACTCTTGCTAAATATTGTTCCAATTGCGCATATGGACCATCAACTGTAATCTGCCCATGATTTGTTCTGATTATTTCAAATCCTAGCATTCTTTCGAAATATGCTAAAATTTTAGCGGAATACTTCCATAAATCGTTGTTAGAGTTATCTAGTATTTGCAACACATCAACATAATTATCATTATTATCGTACAACCAATTTTTTAATAACTCAATTTCTAATTTTGATAATATTTTATTAATTGTATTTTTTTCAAGGACACTTTTGAAATTCTTTGATATTTTTAGACGAGTTATACATGCATCAATATTGGCACATGTATTGAGACGGTTACTTGTTATATAATCTGTCATAATCATTTGAAAAACTTTCGGCGGTTCATCATAAAGTGCCAAAATGGAAGTTAATAAATTTATTATTGCTTTTAATTTTTCTAAATTGTCAACAGTATATCGTCTAAGATTGGATATTTCAAGACTAATTCGTGCATAGATCATTAATATATTTTGTATGTTGTTGATAACCTGAATATATTTTGGAGTTGTTATTAATTCAATAAGATTCATTAAGCAATTCTCAACAAATGGTTCACCATCACACTCAAATAAGAATTTTTCTGATAAACCTTCGGCATTATCTATTACTGTGTTCGGTGGGATTTGATAAATTACGTTATCTACTGTAATCCATTTATAATAATCCTTTGTTTTTAAGGGAAAATAATTAGGATTAAGAGCATCTTCTGTATC